ATGGCTGGAATGCAGACCTCTACTATGAAATGACTTTCGGCGTTATTGAAAGTCCGATTGCCAAATAGATTGAATCATCATAAAGACGTAAGTTCCGACTCGGGTTTGGATAGTTTTGAAGGCAAATTTCGTTCGATTAAGAAAGCTGCAGAAGATCAAAAAGATGTAAACATTGTAAAATTTTGTGTCTCAGAATAACGTTATATTCACTCATACCCTGCGTTATTATTTTGGGCAACCCACACTAGAACATCAGCTCTTGAAATGTAACCATTTAGATGAAAGCCTTTTTTATATTCAATTTATGTAAACAATAGGCCTATATATCTTGTATGGATAATATCTTCTCTAAATTAGATGGTAGAAAACTTGAATATCGTAGTTCAGGTACTCTCTGCTAGATGAGGGTACCGTCGCAGCAGTCGGCTCTAAAAGCATCTAATCTAGTACGTTTTGCGCGAACTGGATGATGTACCATTAGATGGAGCTCAAAATGTGAAAAGTTTGTTATTTGTTCAAGAATGCCTTTGCACGTTCAAGGTTGTCGGAGGCAATAGCAAACATTTATCACTCATTTTTTAATTCACGAATGGCGGTAAATTCGAATTTGTTAGTAATAGTTGTACTGGATGTGCTTCTAACGAGCGCATCACGGACGTGAGATCATGAAAAAAGTTTATAGAAATCGAATTGGAGTGAATCACAAAATTTTATGTCTCAACAATATATGCTTCCATTTTTGGCGATTGTGGAATAAACTTGTCAGCGGATATCAATATATAAGCTGCTCATAAATTTGATTGAAATTCACGAACCCGGACCAGTGTTGTCACCTTAGTGTATTTTACCCTTCCTAGAACTGAATCTAAATGGGTCTGTTTGAGTGGAATTTCATATTTCATTATGTCGATTTACAAAATCAAACTATATAATTCACTGTCGGAAATCATTTTCTTGTCAGAGCTATGTACAATTTTCGAAATTTTTATTATTGAAATTATACTGATATTTATCACATGAAAAACGCGGAACATTGCGTCCGAACATTGATCCGACCTATGTATTGCCGAAACTTGGAGTGCAAATATTTTCCTTTGACTTTTGTGGGGCGGCCGACTCGGTGCGATTGTCGGCGATATGGCTGCCAAGCCGTCGCCGTTTGTCGTCCTAACAACACAAGTACATCCTAGGGACTTCCCAGGGACGTCCCTAATTTTATACAAGGACATCCCAGAGATATCCTTTGTCGGGACAGAGTACATACTAGGGATGTCCCAGGGACATCAGCTGGCTGACAAAAAAAGCATTCAAGGGATTTCCGTCTGGTACGTCCCTGGGATGTACCAAGAACGAAGAAAGGATATCCCTAGGAGGTCGCAAGGATATTCCAGGGACATCCCTTCGACAAAAGAAAATAATTAGGTCGAGTAGGGTTTGAACCCGGGACTTTTAGCTTATCAGGCACGCACCTTAATCCATTGCTAAAATTTATTAATTCAAGATGGCGGCTTCCAAATAATTTTTTGTTTGTGTATAAATGACGACAACTCCGTTGTTATCAACACAAAACTATTACTGCGACATATCATCTGTGAGGGAAAAAAAAGTTATTTGTAACTAAGCCATAGTGAGGTATGACCTACATTTGAAAAACTGAAGTTGGTGCTGATATCTCAAATTCTAGAAGAGTTGGCATAAATTTCATATTTTTTTCGAAATCACTTTGAAAAACTGCCATGAGAATGTGAAATTCCTATTTGTATATTTTCATAAATAAACAAGTTACGGAGGAGGCATGAAAATGATAAGAATCTGTTATTTGCGTATGAAACAAAAACGAATAGATTTTATCAAAATATTTTTTTACATTATAGTTGGCCTTGACAAACTCCACATTTGGTGTCATTTAACCGACCTCGTATCTCTCACCGTTAAAAAGATACCCATGGTGAGCATGGTAAGTGGGACACACTGTATATGTTCCAATAGTTTTGACTCACTATCTGTATATTATGCCTATTATAGATGATGTATTTTATTTCATTTTTATAGTGAACCATTAACAATCAAAGATTCAAAGATATCTGACTATTTATTTTCTATCTACTGATGAGACTCTAATAAGAAATTATCATATTCAGATTGATTATATTATCAATATTTGGTAATGTCTTAAAAATACAAAACTTCAATATGGAATATGGATACAAATTGAGTGAAAAAAATAATCAACGAAAAAGGTTCTGTCAGCCGTCATCCGTCATAATGTTTCGTGCCCTGAGCGCCCTAGGTGGTCCAATCGGCAGTCGATTTGAATTGTACTAGATCGATACAGATTTCTGTACTGATATTAGGCTTCGAAAAATTGACGAGCTCTGCATTGAATTTTCAAGATGGTGTAATTAATTTATGATTTCTTCACCGTAGTGACATCTTGCGAGAAGGTCAGCGTTAAAATGTGGACGCCCGTCTTAACGTATTTTTGAATGATGAAGATCGGTACAGATATGTTCAAAGTGATCCTCAATAATAATGTGTCATCAATTCTTCTCAAAAATACCACAATACTACATTTTCTGATCACCTATTGAAAAAAACATAATTTGTTTTTTCGGACACCCTGTGTTTTATGATGATGAAAATCAGTAGAGGTGTTTTTTAAGTGATCGTGATTCAGAATCCATCATTGTTTTTCGTGAAAAAAATCCCTAATAGTACTTTCCCAAATATGGGTCAATAAAGTTGGTCGCAGTTGGCCACCATTACAGTTTATGAGTAAAATCACTCCATTTTTGGATGGACATTTCAAATACCTATCCAACAAAAAAAAGTTTTTTGAAATCGGTCAGATGATAACAATTTCACAGGGGTGGTAAGTCCTTAAGGTGGACACACTGTATATATCACACAATGTTGGATGCATTTTTTTTATTATATGAGTCAACTAGAAATATGATTTCCTTGTGACTTAGCCATGTTTAGTAAAAAGAAAAAAGAATATCATTTGAAATAATGGCGTGTGTGATCTCATTCCAAGATTAAATGGCCTCATGTCATAAAAATAATATTTCCTGTTGAATTTTCTGTTGTCGAAATTGGGATAGAGGAGATTTCGCGTGCAACGTTGCCAAACTTCCCAGCCACGCTTTTTCCAACCATGCTCATTTAAATGTATGTTTCTGCAGTATTTTGCCTGTTAATCGTTTCCCTGATAGCCTACGAAGTGTAACAACCATTCTAAGACATTTTTGATGTTTTTTCCGGAATATTTCTGTTAATAATCGATGTGCGTTTATGAATTTTTCGCTAAAATCTCTAGAATGACTCCATATATGTATTTAGGAACTGAAATGCGTTTGCAGTGCCGTAATAGTTATTTATGTAATAAGGATCATAAAGACGATCATTATGGTACAAGTCGTGAATGTTATCGGGCGAGGCGTAGCCGAGTCCGATAACACGGCGTGTGCCATAATGATTGTTTATGATTCGTATTACATACAAAATTTTATCTGATGGCATTTATATCAATACATTTTCGAAAAATTAAAAACTGCATTTTCGACATGTCACAATGACAACTATTTTTAAAGGAGTAAGTATTGTGTAGTTTCAAATATTAGTAGGTGAGTGAGCTGTGCTTTGCCATTATATTAATATTACAAATTGTAGTAATTGTTCTTTTACCATTTATAATAAATAGTTTTGTACATAGTTATGCATTTTGAATAAACTTTTTTGATCAAACCATTACATGTTTTCCTTATAGAATTTCATTATGGTACTTAGTACCATAATGAATTCATTATGGTACTTAGTCCCACAATGAATTCATTATGGTACTTAGTCCCATAATGAGCTTCCTTATGTCATCAAAATTGAGTGACATACGTTGTCATTATGACATGCCATCAGATAAAAGCATTTATAGAAAATATAATCTGTCATTTTTGATGATTTTTTCTGAATAACTTCGTTAATAATGGATGTGCGTTCATGAATTCTCCGCTAAAATCTCTAGAATGACTATATACGTATTAAGAAACTGAAATGGATTTGCAGTGCCGTAGGAGAATTTATAGAAAATATAATCTGTCACTTCTGATGATTTTTTTTTAATAACTTCGTTAATAATGGATGTGCGTTCATGAATTTCTCGCTTAAATCTCAAGAATAACTCTATATTACGTATTAAGGAACTGAAATGGATTTGAAATGCCGTGAGAGAATTTATAGAAAATATAATCTGTCACTTTTGATGATTTTTTCTGAATAACTTCGTTAATAATGGATGTGCGTTCATGAATTTCTCGCTCAAATCTCAAGAATAACTCTATATACGTATTTAGAAACTGAAATGAATCAGAAATGCCGTAAGAGAATTTATAGAAAATATAATCTGTCACTTTTGATGATTTTTTCTGAATAACTTCGTTAATAATGGATGTGCGTTCATGAATTCTCCGCTAAAATCTCTAGAATGACTATATATACGTATTTAGAAACTGAAATGAACTTTCAGTGCCGTAGGAGCATTTATAGAAAATATAATCTTTCATTTTTGATGATTTTTTCTGAATAACTTCGTTAATAATGGATGTGCGTTCATGAATTTCTTGCCAAAATCTCTAGAATAACTCTATATACGTATTTAGAAACTGAAATGAACTTTCAGTGCCGTAGGAGAATTTATAGAAAATATAATCTGTCACTTTTGATGATTTTTTCTGAATAACTTCGTTAATAATGGATGTGCGTTCATGAATTCTTTGCTAAAATCTCTAGAATGACTATATACGTATTTAGAAACTGAAATGAACTTTCAGTGCTCGTCATTCTGCAGTGTTGCAGTGTGATTGGCCAGTTCAAGGACAATAGGCGTGTTGGGACTAAGACGTCGCACCAGCCACACCAATGAATTGACAAAATTTCGAATGGCGCAAGAATTGTGTGTTTTGAAATGGACATATTCTAATTTATTTTTTTCATCGTCTTTTCAGAAAATCATGGCTGAACTATTATCGAAACTCCATGACGAGTTGCTTGCAATGAAGTGCTATCTTTGCAAGAATGTTTTATCGCTACCACCAATAATATCGATTTGCGAAGATGGAAAACAATTGAAATGTGGAAGGTGTAAAGATATCAATATACCATCTACTGGCAGAAACTTCACTCTGGAAAGTATGGCGAAGTTCTTTTCATATCCCTGCATCTACGAGGATTGCAACAAATCAATGCCGTGGGATGAAGTGCAAAGCCATGAAGACAGCTGCGCCAAGAAAACTATCAAATGTCCAATTTACTATCAGGATTGTGAGGAAATTGTAATGGTGCAAAAATTGAGGGAGCACATGGAAAACAAACATGAATATAATATTTTCTATGGATCTTTCACCACTGTAATGACATCCGATTGGTGTAATATAATTGTTGTGATATACAGCGATCAGAAGTTTCTTATTATGATAAGAACTATATCGCCTTGCCATATCTACGTAACATCGCTGAACAATACCGATGCATCCTTCGAATACGATTTGAAATTGTCCAGCGTTCATAATGACAGTCATTCTGTCTTGATTGAAAATCAGACAATAGTCAAATATAACGAGAGGGATCATTGTTTCCGATGCATAAGAAACACATGTTATGTGAATTACCATCCTCATTCGAGAATAAACGGAAATGTTCCTGTCAATATGAATTGTAAAAAGATTGATTTATCCAGCATGAAAACCTTATTTGGTGACGTATCTGAGATCAGATATACCATTACATTTCATCCAAAGGAAGGCTATGAAGAAAACGAAAAACTGGTGGATTGTAAATCAGCGATGAAATACCAAACAAACAAGTTTCCGATGGAAAACTGTACCAAACTTTTGAGAAGACAGTTACAGTGTCCTATCTGCATGAAGTATATGATGGGCCAAATATACAACTGCAATATTGGGCATGTATTGTGCGAAACATGTAGAGTACAGCTGAATAATTGTCCTCAGTGTCAAATGGAGCTTGACAGCTTGAGAAATCATCCTTTGGAGCATTTGGCTGATGAAGTTGTGTTCCCCTGTATATTTTCGAAAAACGGTTGTCATTTCATTGGAAAATTGCAAGCGCTTATGGTGCACGAACAATGCTGTGGATTCAAATAGATATTGATTTCTTCAAATGAATTTTCATTGCACTCATTTTTCCCTTCATTATACAGGGTGGTAAAACGGAAACTTTACACCCCGATTTCAGGGCACGACACTCCCGGATTTTGAATTGGAAATGTTGCGATTATAGGGCTGCGCTCTCACCGGAAATGCCTCCAATTTTAAATTTTTGAATGGAACATAACATTTTTGACTTTCTGAGATAATTTTGGATCATAATATGACATTTTCAAGAGTTTTTATGCCCACTAGGAGGGTAAACTTATCTAAGGACCTCAGGTGATGCCAGAAAATTATAATCGCATAGTTTCAGTGTCGAACTATTATTTTTCGAATGGCAACCATTTTTTGACAAGCACTTAAAAAAAATGTTTTTCAGCTTGGAGCGCACGAAAGGGAATCCCTATAATATTCAAAGAACATCGTGCGTTCCTAGGGAGGATAGGGATAGGAGGTAGGTGTTGGATTTTTTTTTGAACTTCTGGAGATTATATGTCTCAATCTCAACATAAAAATGCAAAATATTTTTCTTCGGAAAGTCTCTTCTTATAGTTTGACACATCCCAGTGACATACTGATTTTGGCATATGGCTGAGTGATGTTTGTATACAAAAAACTTACAGGATGTTTTTATTAATTGATCTTGAATCTACCATTTTCATGTTCAGTTTTCAGTATCAGTAGTGAATACAATGTTCTATCTATATATCAACTGAACAGGAAGGAATGCTATTGTCTCCGTTCAGAAGAATGCAAGCGAATTCCTTATTGATTTTTCTCTTTTGGTTGTTATCTTCATTTCCTATGATTTTAATATTATTCCACTCTGCCATATGTTGTCCATTTTCAGTAAATATATGTTCAGTTAGAGTTGATTCATCACATTATATATTGAAATAATACTCATATTTTCATTTTATGGAAACGAGGATAATTATGTAAAATGAATGTACCACCTCCTCGATCAACCTACAGACAGTATTTTTACATATCTTCCCTGATCATCCTGCTTTTGAAACAACAATTCCTACTTATGAGATATTTATTGATGATTTATAATTTTGATTGTCACCATTACAAACTTCATGATTTGATAACTTTTCAATTTCTAAACATCTTTAGAAAACAATACACGTATACTTTGATTACAACCATTATGTTCAGATAATCTCGAATCTTTGATATGCGGTTAACGGTGTACAGTGTACAGTGGCGTGATTAAGGTGGAGTCCATGGGGTCTGAACCCCCCCCACCTCCTCCCAAAGCTGTCTGAGCAAACAAGCGCCTAGCTAGACCAGCGAATCTTCGAAACATCGAGTAGGTACATGTGACGTCACCCACAACATATGACATTTCTTCCTTTATTAGGTTTGTTCGCGTTCGAAAAATAAACAGTCCGAAACCATCAGAAGCATGCGCAGTTCCACGGAACTTGGAAAAAGTGTACTGTTCTGTGAAATTGCGCATGCTCCTGATAGTTTCGGACTGTATATTCTGAACGCGAACATGCCTTTTATGTTAAGAAACTACGACTACTATGATTGAAGCGATAGCTCATAGCAGAGAATACTCAACGAGCCCGTGAACCTTTTATATAACGGTTTGTCTGTGAGGCTAGAAATTTTAATAGTGATGGATCATAGGCTGTTAAGTACGAAAACCATGACCTGGCAGGTCTCACCCTTGCACTTCACCATCCTCCATAAGTTTTAAAGTGTAAAAATAATTCAAAAAATAAACTTGGCGCTGTAGACTTGTTATTTCATTATGATCCTATTTAGGTATTGCAGAATATAGAAAAAGTTGACAGGCGATTCTGATGAGCAGAAGTAGGTGCCAGGCGAGTCCAAAAGTGCGCAAAAGAGGACTGAAAATAAACTTCGCTCTGTAAGATTGAAATTCGCACACATGTTCAACTGAGGTTTTCAGAGCATATATGTGCAATGACAGGCGATTCTTGCCAGCAGAAGTACCTGACAGACGATGAAGAAGGTGCTATAAGAGTATACGTCTCAGCGCGAGAGACAGAAGATAAAAATGAAAATTTTGGAAAAAACATGTTCCATCCACTAATGTAACTAATTTATCTAGGACAATTACTGAAATTGAATATTCTTCAACATTCGACTCTTCACTGTAAGTAGTCTTCATCTGAAAATAAAACATACCTACCTGTTAAACTGAAATATGCATTGATAATATTACCAATTCATTTGTTACTTGAAGTGTTCTCCTCATCAGGTGCATGGTTTTCTCCAGTTTCATTGGATTGTTCTGAAATTTGAATTAATCATGGTTTTCCCGATGAACGATGACATTTCATTTGTGCACCAGTGCACCAGCCGCTCTGAATTGTATATTATTCGAACGTGCCGAAGGACATGACGAACGAAACGTAAGTTATATCATTACGGGGCCAGAACAAGTGAGACCAGTTGACTTCATAAAAGAACTTCGTAAAATACAATTCAAAGAAGCTTTCGTCGAATTTTTAATTAAACACTGGTGCACAAATGAAATGTCATCGTTCATCGGGAAAACCATAATAAATTTGAATTACAAACAATGCCATAGCTATAGTGTCTACACAACAACTCAGTAATATTCAATATCAACGATAATAATTCATCTTGCCAGAATCATGAAGAAGCTGATACGAAAATTATATATCATATATTATGCCACATAGATGATGCTGATAGTGTATCCGACATTCTGATAAAATCTTTTGATACATATATTTTAATTGTGATGCTTGGCAACATGGATCATCTTTTCAAAAACGATTTGCAAATTTACATTGAGTATGGAGCTTTCATGAATGAGGCGTATATGAATATTTCTGGATTGTATACAAAGTTGGGTCCCTCGCTATGCCAAGGCTTACCAGGTTTTTATGTATCTTTTTTTCTATATTCTGCAATACCGAAATATAATCATAATGAAATTACAAGTTTACAGCGCCAAGTTAATTTTTTAAATTATTTTTACACCTTGAAACTTATGGGGGATGGTGATGTGCAAGGGTGAGGCCTGACAGGTCATGGTTTTCGTACTCAACAGCCTTTGATCCATCACTATACAAATTTCTAGCCTTACAGACAAACCATTGTATAAAAGGTTCACGAGCTCTCCAGCTATTAGTGGTCTGTGTATCTGACTTCCACGGGGTTCAATTCCTGCATGGCGTAATTTTTTTTCAGTAAGTAATTTTCTTAGTAAGATTGTAAGTATTGAAGAGGAATATTCTCAGATAGAATTCCGGACATAAAAAAATTGATTCATAAAGTGGGGTCATCTTCAGTGATATACACTGCTCGGCAACAGTCATGAACCACCCCAATTTCCGGAAAATGATATTGGGACTCGAAATAGGTTAAAAATCACTTCTGATTCGGAATCAGGACGCACTCTTCACGGAAGCACCCCCGTATCTTACGTACACGGAAAAAAGTTATGTTGCACCAACAAAATAATGTTGGTCATTTTTTTTTGTTAAATTAAAAACAATTTCGCGAAATCAACAAAATATATGTTCATTCCAAATAAGCAACCTATTCAAAGAGACAAAATAATTTAATTGAAATATTTGCTTACTTGAACAAAAGTTTCATTTCATTCAACAACATTTATAGTTGATCCAACTATTATCTCATTGTTCAATCAATCATATGCATTTTGTACATTCGACAAAATTAAATTAATTTCGACAAAGATTTAACTTGATACAACATCTTATTTTGTTGAGTCAACAATCATTTTATTGTACCGGGTGATTCAATAAGGGTGACGAGGTACTGTATCTCAGGAACTAATAGTCGTAGAAGTTTGGGAAAAAAATTCTTTCGAGGAAATCGACCAAGAAAAACTGCTGGAAATATTTTTTGAATCCATACGTCCACCGCTAGGGGGCGTAATAGCTTCGATCGTATGAAAAATGTAATTTTTTCGAATTTTTTCCAATATAGACTGGTAACATATCAAAAGCTTCCTCGTTCGTATACGGCATTTTTTGAACTTTAAATTAGGTTCTTTACAAATTCGAATGTCAAATAATAAACTGTCTATTTGTGGAAAATCGGCGTTTCCATAGAAACTGTCTACCAAGTGTTTTCACGGCTTTCTAAGAAATTGGATATATTTGAATTTTAATACCTACGCTACTAACTAATAGTAAAGTTTTTGAATGACATTTTTTTTTCGTTTTTTTTATTTGTCCATAGCATGCTTGTCTACGCATATTACAAAAAAAAATTGAAAACTCAATAAAATATTTTGTTTCATCAATAAATTCGTCAATGAACTATTCTTTGAGCCATAACTTTTAAACAAATGAAGATATCGCCATGCGGTTTGGACATGTTGTGTTGCAAATTTTATCTACTTTCGGAATCTAATAAAAAAATCATACGGTTCCATTTAAGATTTCGGAGCAAAATTGAAAAAACGGTTAAATTTATAAAACACGCCCCCTAACGAGCGCGATGATAACCAGAATGGCATAGATGGTTTTTTAATTTGTTCACCAAGCCTTCCTTTCACGAACAAAACCTTGTTAGCAAATTTCCGATACGTCAAACTAAAGTTATAGACATTTACAGTCCAAAAAGTTTAGCAATCCCTCCCGCCTTCATTTTACGTCCTACAATGAAAATCTATTCAACAAAAAGATGGACCATTAGGATGACATTGACGTGAGAGTATTCATTTCTAAACTTATATTGGAAAAAATTCGAAAAATTTACATTTTTCATTCGATCGAAGCTATTACGCCCCCTAGCGGTGGACGTATGGATTCAAAAAATATTTCCAGCAGTTTTTCTTGGTCGATTTCCTCGAAAGAATTTTTTTCCCAAACTTCTACGACTATTAGTTCCTGAGATACAGTACCTCGTCACCCTTATTGAATCACCCGGTACAACCAATCAAAGGTTTTTTTCTATTCGACAAAATTGAATTGATTATGACAACATTATATTTTGTTGATTCAATACATCACACAT